CCCATTTCTAGCACCTCCTTAATCGTTCTGATTTAGACTATACACACAGAAACGCATCTGTTGTCATTATCCTTGTATTGTGCCGCCAACCCCAGTTGTTGGCCTGTGCACTGCAAATGACACAAGTTAAATGCCGACTAAGTGTTACTGACAGCCACGCTGCATCCGAGGCAGCTGCTCGGGGAGCGACGCCCCACCCCCTTCTGGAGGAACTCGCACCGACTCGACTTGACTTGTCGTCACGAGTATTCTTGTTGTTGGCCTGTAAATAAAATCAGTGCCCTGTAGCGCCAAAGTTGGCAAAGTTTTCATGCACTAAATGACTTGTCGTCCTCGACAGTTCGTATTAAACTAAAGTGAACAACATCCTGCCCGCCGCACACATCCTTCAGCGGGCGACACAAAGTTGACACCCGACAAGTCAGATTCTAGTACATTAAATTAATGAAATGATTTGCTGGTGCTATTCCCCCTTCTTCACATGCTCCCACCCATAAAGGTTATGCTCTGGAGATCTCGGTCGAAACTTAAAATGTGACAACGTTTTCAAGACCATAAATATGCGCAAATCATCGAAATCAACAACAACAACAACAACAACAACAATTCTCATAACAATAGCCCCAGACATCAGGATGATGTGACCAATTGTGGGTCATTAATCTTTCAAAACAAATGCGGTTCAATGTTTTTGACAGCGGGGTAGAAAATAGAAAGGAAAAAAATGTAAAAAAAGCAACCAAATACCCTACAAGCAAGACTCTATACAAATTCGACAGATTTAAGGCATATAATAAATTTTAAAAAATAAATAAAAACATCAAACTTATAATATAAAAGTTCAAATGTAAAATGTATATGTGAGTCGTATATGTGAACATATGAATATTAGCTATGTAAAAATATATAGAGATATATAATCTACTAGCGGGTATAACCCGGCCTTGCCCGTGGAACGTATGTTAAAAATCAACGTTCTCAAAAAGCTTTGAAAATGATTTTGAAACTTATCGGACGGTAAACAAACAATTTTCATAGAAACGTTTTCCGCCAATTTACCACTGTTACGGGTGGAATTTTCCAAATCGCTAAAATACGTATTTATTAAGTTCTTATGTAGAGCTTTGAAAATAAGTTTGAAGCAAATCGGACACAACTTAATACTTCGCCCAAAAAATCTCTGAATCGCATTCCCCCCGAAGAAGTTTGAATTCTGCGAAAAGTGTGAAACACGTCTCAAAAGATTTTTCTTATAGATCTCTGGAAACGAATTTGAGCGCGAAACGTCACCCACCAAATCTTTGACCTCCATTTCCACCAAGGAGGAATGGATTTTCCTAAAAGTGTGAAACACCCCTCAAATGAATTTGAACAAAGATCTTTGAAAATAAGTTTGAGGCCGATCGGATGGTAAACAAAAAAGTTACATACAAACGATTTTCGCGATTTTTCCACACTTGCGGGTGGAATTTCCCGAAACCCCGTTTTAACGTGCACCTACATCGCATAAGGTAGCTACAGTGAAAATTTCAGCTTCCTAGCTCTTACGGTTTGGGCTGTGCGTTGATCACCAATCAGTCAATCAGTCAGTCAGTCAGGACAAACAGTTTTATATATAGAGATTCTATAGGCTTTTCATACAAACGAAATTCTTAAAAGCATGAGAAATTGATTTGCCAACTCATGCCTAATCGCGAGTTTTTGGGAAATTTACTTTCACAGAATCTTGTGAAAAGTGTGAGTGAAAACAGCGAAGTTTACACAGAAAATTTTCTGAATATAATTAGAATTCATTATGTCCCAATATACAAATTGACAATATATGTATGCATGCTCAATTTTTTTTTTTACATTCTGATTCCCTTTCGTTTTGTTACTATAAGGGATAAAGAAATATTTTCACAGAACAAACAAAAAGCAAACCTAATCATATTCAAATGAATTCAAATCACAAAATCTTACTGAATGCGGCGAAATAGTTAAAAATCGAATTACTAAAAAATTTAATAAAAATTAATTAAACATTTTTTAAGCTTACTCAAGACTTGTAAGATGAATGTACAATACATGCAGAACTTTGATCCATTATTTTTTAAGATTTAATCAAATTTCCTATTTAATATTCCCCTTTTGCCAAATCATTTCCCATGGCAGGTATGCTCTCTCGTTTGCAGTGTCGTCAAATTGTTGACAATGGAACGAGCCATGTGATAAAAAAAAAAGAGCATTCACTTCTCTCACAGTCACAGATACAGACGCGTCTCGTCTAGAGGGCGGTGGCCGAGGGGTATTGGGGAGGGGGGGAGGGAGGGGGGCAGCTACTGTCATTTACAAGCCCAGTGAACTATTCAACGCGTCTGGCTTTGATGGCCATGCAGCGCGACGACATATTACTTCCTTATTTGTGGGCCGTACAAACGACCTTTGGCTGGGACAGTGGGAAGCAGCCAAGCCACCCCTAAATACACACACACGCACACACACACACACAGACACGCCGTGCAAACGTCACGCAGCCAAAAAGTGAAACATTCAGCGCGGCAATTTCCACTCAAAATTATGCATTTAACAACGATGTGTGCCTTGGTGTGTGTTGTCGTTGTTGTTGTTGTTGTTGGTGTGTGTGTTGTTGTTGTTGGTGTGTGTGTTGTTGTTGTTGTTGTTGATGTGTGTGTCGTTGTTGTGTGTGCCTGCCAAACATGCGCGTTAAAACAATGACTGGACGCTGACAGCGAGCCAAACATCCGCCAGATAAAAATGCTCCACACTTCACAATTTGATTGAATCAACTGGCGCGTGGATTCGTGGATTCAATTCCGGGTGCGGGGAATATGCTATGCTGCTAGTACCCACGCTGTGGACGCTTTGTCATTGTGCGTGGGTCTCGTTTGGGGAAGGAACGTTGCCCAAATGGCATTAGTACGACGCGACAGGACAGCCCAGGACGGGGAGGAGGAGTTGCTGCTGGGATGATAATGATAAGCGTATAAAACCATTAAGTGATTCCACTTAAATGAGCACGTTAGGATAAATGTGACTCGTCTTCTTTTTTTTCAGTTTCATTTTGTTGTTGTCTTTCCTTTTTTGGTATCAACATTTTCGTTGCCTGCTTTGAGGCGTTGCCGATTTAAAAGGTGCGCGAATCGAGGCAGATTCGTGAAATGGCAATGACAATGGACACAATTCGTGGGCAAAAACAATTTTGAATAGAAAAATAATGGATTAGAGGGAAATAATGGATTTAAGGGAAATTAAGTAGAAAATACTGCCCATTTGTAGGTTAGAAATCAATATAAATGTCTGCTATAAGGTTCGATTAAAATTTGTGCCTATAATCTGGCAACGCTTTTTATTAATATTGAAGGTTGCCCGACTATAAGCAATACATCGTCAGGTGGCAACACTGGACAACTTCAACCTAATAGATATCAGCTGCCAGCTAGATATTAACAGGCTGTCAACTTTGACAGTAACCTGAGACAGGCGGCATACAAAACCAACTGCTGCTTGGTAAATGTGAACAGTTATCCGATCATAGCACATTTGACAGCAATGGCTAAAACAATAGGATACCTTCTGGTTACATTTTCAACTGAGCGCACAATTTAATACGAAAACATGTATCAAAGAAGCTTACTTATTTGGCCCACTGTCAGTGCCACTAATTGAATATCACTGAGCTACAAAAAGCACAAGGGAAAGTATAACGAGACCACAAAAACAAAAAAAAAAAGGGGGAAGGAAAACAACAACAGAATTTGCTTCACTTTCGACAAACATAAAAGTCAGCTCCAGCTAAGAGCCGGAGCAGCTCCCTGGCAGGATAAGCTTAAATCCATGTAGCCAACTCGGGGCGTGCACGACATGCTTGTCGGCAGCAAAGGACGCAGCAGCAAGAGGAGCTGCCGCTAACTGTCCCGGAGCGTTGGGCGTTCCACGTTAAATGGCCAACAAGGTGACAATGCAGATATAATGCGATATGCGGCGGCAGACAAAACGGCAAACGTGCCCGGCTCGATTCGATTGTCGATTCGCAATTGATAATGCTTAATGTGAACTGTCGCAGTCAGCTTCAATCACTGATGAATGATGAGGGAGGCCAGAAGACAAAAAAAAAAAAAATAAAAAAACAAAAACAAAATTAACGTGAAAGTAAGAATATCTTCGGCAAGCTGAACATTTAATACCCTTGCAGATATATGCGAATATTGAAGCTCGTAAATTCTGAGTTTGATAAAAAAATATTTCATTTTTCCGCCGATTCTTCCTGCAGTGCTATACGATATAGTGGTGAGATATTGATAATGATATGATATGGATATTAAATACCGGAATTGGTCAATATATCTATTATTTATTGGTCCGATCCGGCCGGTTCCGACATATGTAATACCTAAAACAAGTTTCAAGATAAAAGCTTCAAAGCTGAGAGACTAATTCGCATGGAAACAGGCAGATGGACAGAAGGACATGGCTATATTTATTTACTTATTAATGGTCGACAAAATGGAGTGTCTTCCACATTATTTAATATATCACATTTGGTCAGACTGATGGAGTTGTTTTATTTGCCCGTCCGGCCAGCTATGTCCCTTTTCACAGCTGTTGATGCTGATCTTGAATATGTATACTTGATGGGGACGAAGATGCCGCCTTCTATGCGTTACAAATAACATGACAAAGTTATAATACCCTCAAAAAAGGGTATACAAAGGTGACACCCGGCTTATCTCTGAACTTTACGCTCAATATAGCACGCAGCTGGCTGACAATGTTAAATGATGTCGACAGGGCGCACATAGTTAATGACCAAATTTTAATATCTGAAAGATGGCGGCTTAAAGCGCATCATTTTTGGATCAGAGATTGACAAAATAAGTCAAAAATAAAGTGGAATATATTAATAGATAGCTAAAGCCAATTCAATAATGCGGAAAACAAAATCTTCTCTAACTTATAAGAAAATAAAAATGTATTGTAATTGTAATGTTGTCAAAACATTTGGATTGATTTAATATTTCGAAACTGATTCTCTATAGAATATCAAATTTTTAACTCAACATATTAAAAACAACTAGAGAAAAACGTGCAAGTAGCGCATGGAAAAGCCATGTTAAAGTCAATGGAAAAGTAGCTCCACAAATTGTTGGCAAACATGAATCAGAGCTTGCGCCTGGCAAGGAAAAACTGGTGTCATAAGAGGAAACTGTAAGTTGTGGCAGCGGCGACACCCGCATCCTTGGCGCAAGTTTTGCGCTGTGGACATTTGTTAATTGTCAGCCGGAGGTTTTTCGGTTAGCAAACATGCAGTTGGCCAAAAGCCAACGCGGCCAGCACGACAAATCGGTGAAACGCGAAATGGTAACAATTTAATTAAGTTTTTGGTACGTTATTTGCGCCGGCACTTAAAGTACTTTCGACTGTCGCCTTTTGGCCCGGCACTTGACTTGTTTTGCACCTTTTGCATGTTTGGCTATTGCTAATTACGCAAATGTTCTTAACTTTAAAATTGCGACGCCATTTTACACGCGAGCTGCGTGTGAAATTTACAGCGACAACAACGCCCTATTCTCTCTCTCTCGCTAGGCCACGCCCACCAACTGTGCACTTTGGTTTTGTCTGTTTAACTTTGGTTCATAGCTCGCTGACTTTTGCTGATTGTGCAACAGCGCAAAGAATCCCGGCAACTGCAAGCACTACAACCCACCATTTGCCACCTGCCCCTCTCCATCCCCTTTATCCCCTCCCCCTTCCCTTTAACCTTTGTGACATGCACTTGCAATTTATTTTTTATGTATACATACATATATTTGTTAGTTTTGAAAATTAAAATCTTTACTCAGCGCAAGGTTATGTCGAATTTGATGTTTTTGATGTGCAACAGTGCGTATTCGTGTTTACCAAGTGTTTGTCTGTAATGAGAATGCGGTTTCATAAGTCTAATGAAGTTTCTGAAAATATATTGTCATACATTCAAATAAAATGTATATTAATGAAACAACCCATTAGCTGACTTTATATTCCCATCGACTTTCTACAGGTTTTCTATAGCGTTGCACAGAAAGAACTAAGAACTGTATAGAATTTATATAAAAATACATAAGTTAATTAAAACTTGAGTTCATCGTAGACATAAACAATTTTTATCTGAAAAATTTTCATTTAAATTATCCAAGTTCCAAGTGTCCATTCCAAGGAAAGCAAATTCGTTAAGCAAAAAGTTTCAGAATAAGACACAAAGAAGAAACACAAAAAATGAGCTCGATCGAGAGTGTAGTTTTTAGAGAGAATTAAAAGGCTTTAGGGAAAATTATATAATTTTTAATTTTACTGTATTTCTTATTTTTATATTAGGCAGAACTTTACAACTAATCTATATGTACTGTTTCTTTTCCAAGTTATTAATGAAGCTTCTTTTTGTTTGTTGGCATTGAACAATGCTTCAATTTACATTAAAGTGCTGTCTCATAACTGCAATAGATGTCGCATATCCCCAAGACAGCTTCCGTAAAATGTTCCCAGTCCTTTTTTTTGATATTTGAACTTTGCAAATGCCAAGCAGATTTTTGGCTCTCAAATGCATTTTATAGCGAGAACACAAAACAAGAAGCTCAGACATGGTCTTAGATTTAGACACACAGGCACACACCTGAGACACACACACACATGCAGGCACACACCTGAGACACACACGTACACCTTTGGCAGCTGCTGTCAGTCAATTTCCATTAAGTCAACACCTTATTGAATTTTATTGTAAATTGAAAAAAGAAACTGCAAACTGCAAAATTGCTATACAAAGGCACATGACAAAATTCTTAGCACATAAATTGAGATTTGGAAAGCAAATTGAAGGGATCCAAATGTGGCTACTACTTTTATATATAGCATAAGAAAGTAAGAGAGAGAGAGAGAGATAGGGGGAGAGAGTGTGTTAATAATATGCTGTTCATTTTAGCAATTAATTTGCATAGCTGGCCAACAATTGTGTAATTTGTATTTGTCACATAAATTATCACGCAATGAAAATAGTTTTCAAATTTGCAGACAGCGAGCAGCACATGGTGTTCAGGGGGGGGGGGGGGGGGGGGGGGTGAACCATACGCAACTATCGATAAATTATAAGGCCGTTGACAACGCCCCCTAATTCCCATCACTAAGAACCCAGACAAACCAAACAGGAAACAGCAACTGACTAATTTTTCGCCCCCACCATTTTAGGTGCTTGGCCAGAACCGCAAATTTTATGCACGTTATAAATCACGACGACGACGACGTCGACGACGACTGCGAAAATGTTCACATTAATTGTTGCAACGTCATTTTCGGGCCTATTGTGTCGGGTAGTTCGGTTGGGGTCGCACTCAGCAAGGCTAATAAAAGGCGTTCGCTCTATATATGTGGCTCCAGACGCCTTTGTGTCACGTGGCAATTTCGCAAAAGGAATTTCAACAATGTAGACGTTTTTACAACAGTTTGGGGCCAGCGGCAACTGGCAGCAGCAGCAGCAGCAGCAGTAGCAGTTGCGCAAAAAAAAATAAAGAACTCTCAACTATTTTTTCTTTTTTTGTTTGGCGCATAGGCAAATGTGTTTGTTGGCGGAGGGTGGTGGCAATGAAACATGACTGTTTAGTGGCTGGATTTGGGATTTGTCAAAGGCGCGCATACAATGCCGTACAAAGTCCGTCGCGGCTGGGTAATTTTCATAATTTTACATTTGAGACCCTGCAGCATGGGCAGCGTCTGTCTGTGCTTTAAGCGAAATTCCATTCGTGTGCCAACTTTCAATATGTACAACATAAAAAAAAAGTTTTTATTTTAGCCCATCACTAATTGTGCAGAACTTGCACATCGCTAACTTCCAATAAAAAAAAAAACTTGAATTTTGATTTTCTTGCTACGCATTATTTGCACGCTACGTACACACACAAACACATGCATACAAATGTAAATACAAGGAATATGTATGTATGTATGTGGGTTGGTGTTTGTGTGCGTGGGGTAGAAGACGCACATAAAATGCAGGCAAAAACACTCGAAACGTAAAAGTTATGCACAAAGACAAAAACAGCAAAAGGGCGTCGTTAATATTTCAAAAACAGAAACAGCCAAACAAAACGGAACAGAAATGCTTAAAATATACCCACACACATACAAGCATAACAAAAACGTGCTGGCAAATTTCAATAAGAGCAACAACAAAAACACAACAACACTTTAGACAATTGCACGCGTCCATTCTTGACTTGTGCAATGTGAAAATATTAAAAGGCATATTTGTCGCTTGGTCAGCAACTAGACTATAGGTGAACCAAGGCACAGGAGAAATAGCAACAGCAGCAAATGAGACAAACGGAAGATGTTCGTTGCACGTAATTTATGGCCCAGAGTCAATGTAAGGTTAGGTTACGTTCGGTTTGAGCGTCGCACGCACATTTGCAAAAAGCTGTCAATGTGCTTTGCGTCTGTGTGTGTGTGTGTATGTACATTTGTAATGGGGGGACCCGACACTGCAAATTAATTGTGGACAACGCAGGGCACAACTGACCTGAGCTAAGTGGCTGCTTGTGGGGCTTAAATGTCCATTTATCACCTGCTCGGTCAAAGTTCAAAGGATGAGACCAACTTCTTACATGTGCTTTAATTAGCTGCTTGCGCTTACCTCTTGCTTTCCTCACGCTCATGTTTTATTTCGACGATGCTCTTATATGATTCCATATTTATTTTTTAGCATACACTTGTGATATTCCCGCATAAATTCGCACAATTTTTTACAAGCAAACGAAAGTTTTAAAAAATGCCCGCACACAGACGCAGCGCAGAAAAAGTGTTGCCCATGCTTAGAATAGCCAGTGCTGCCACACTGTCGCAACAGCTTGGCAGCGCTGCCAGATTCATGTTAATGCAAATTTCAGGCCACACTGCACGAACAGCTGCTGAATTTACCGCCAAATTGAATTCAAAAATTTGATTCATATCATTTCGTTTAATAATATTTTGTTCGGGAAACAGTCTTAGGGATTACCAACACCTGGATGAGTATTCGTTAATACTACCAATAACCTTTCAGCGCTTTAATGGAAACGGCGCAACCCAGCCGCCAAAGGCGCGCTCCAGCTCCTCGGCCACGGCCAAGCACAGGCGATCATTGTTGTGATTGGACACCACCTGTATGCCCAGGGGCATGCCCTGCGCATCCAGACCCATGGGCACCTGCGTCACCGGCAAACGCAGCACATTGAACAGGCTAAAGTAGCTGAAGTCCATAAACTTGACCAGTGGATAGTAATGAAAGGGTGCCGTGCGTGGAGAACTATGAAAGATCAGCACTCCATTCTCACCCAGCAGCTCTTGCAGCGCTGCCTTGCACTTTTTGGTTGCTTTGCGCATCTGAGCCTCGTTCTCCTTGGGCAAGAGGCTATCCAGCAGCGAGTATATGGCCGCCATGCTGTATTCGCCCTGACCCAGCAGCTTTTTGAATAGCTCCACAAACGGATTCAGCTCGACGCCATTGCCCAGCAGCTGATTGAAGTTGGCCGGCTCCTGGGTCATCCAGTAGCGCCACATTTTGCCGGTCAGCTGCGTCTCCGGCAGCTTCGCCAAGCGCACCTCCTTCCCGGTAAGCGACTCGAAATGCTTGCGGACATTGTACATAATGCGCTCCGTTTCGCGATTGATGGGATTGCACTGGCGCATCCCAATGCTGGGCACATAAAAGTAGCGCAGACTCTTCACATCCACCTGCTCATCCAGCTTGAGCACACTGTGCAGTGCCGGCTCCAGCAGCACCTTCATAATGGGCCGCAAATCGCTGGCATGGCGCGTCATAGGACCCGCACAGACCATTGTCTCCTGCTCCTTGCCGGTGCGAAAGGTGCAGCCGGCCATATTGATGGCGCCCGTGCTGGGCTTATGCCCGAAAATGCCACAATTAAAGGCCGGAATGCGTATGGAGCCGCCTATATCGGTGCCCAGGCCAAAGCCAGTGCAGCAGGCTGAGATTAAAGCGGCTTCACCGCCCGAGGAACCGCCCACGGATCGCCTCAGATCGTAGGGATTATTGGTGCCGCCAATAAGCATATTGCGCGACTCGATCCACTTATTCACCTCCGGCACATTGCTGGTGGCTATGATAATGGCGCCGCTTTGCTTCATCAGACGCACACATTCCGCATCATTCGTGGCCCGCACATCCTTGCGCGCCAGCAGGCCCAAGGTGTGCAGCTTGCCGGCCACACAGGTGCTGTCCTTGGTGGTGAACGGTACGCCCAGAAAGGGCAGCGCCAGCAGCTGTTCATCTGTATAATGATTCGTCGCCAGCTGCTCGTCGATAACGCGCGCCTGCTCCAGTGCCTCCTTTACAAAGGGTCCATCGACGACAGCGTTCAGTTCACGGTTCACAATTTCGATACGGTCACAATAGGCTTTCACGATGTCGTAACTTTTCAGCTTGCGTTCGCGTATTTGTTTTGCCAACTCAACGGCGCTCTTGGTCAATATGACCTGTTGATCCACATTTGGAGGAGTTGCGACACGCTTCTGTGGACCCAGATACCAGCCCAGGGCAAATTCCAAGAGGCGATCGGTTATGATGTGGACAAGGGTTAACAGAGCCTCCAACAATGCATGCCAAAAACTCATGATGAAATTGTTTTCTTATCTTTTTGCACCACGCGACGTCTTGTAAAGTCAGCAAGTATTTAACTAGATATACATATGTAGTACATGCATATCATAAAAAAGTTGTTTTTAATTACCCTACTGGCGTTGCCACTCCAACAAAGTTTTACAGCTCTGCATAAACCGGTATGAAAAGCTCTGTATTCAAACAGCTCAACAGCCGTTGGCAGCTGGGGTCTCGTTACGTTACGACAACAACTGATAAAATGTACGCTGTTTCTGGCGGCAAGAGGCTTAACGCCTAAAAATTAATCAATTTACCTATTTTTCAACACTTAGTGAATTAAAAGTAAATATCTCACGATTTATAAGCACAATAGATATTGATACATAAATTATGAGGCTTCGCGATGGCGTTGCCACACTTTTTACGATTTTATATATAAACGATATTGCCTTCAACTGCATACATTTACGTAAATCTTTCTATTTATTATATTAAATGAATTATTTTCGATTGCATGACATTGCTTGCAAGAAATTGGTCGTGTCACGTCGCAGCATGCATGACCCATCGTCGACACGAAACACGCCACTAGCAACAACAATATAAATAAATATCGACCCGTCGCTGCCGTCGCCGCAGCTGAGAGTGGTAGTTGCTTTACCGTCGCGCTGCTAAAGCGTCGCCAATTTGCTGCTGTCACAGTACCTGTATCGAATTTTCGTATGTAAAAACAAACGACTGCCAAAATAGAAAGTCAACTCATTTTAATGCAAATGCGCTTAACTTAAATGCTAAAACTGTGCGAATTGCATTAAAACGTCGAACTTGCAACGGCCTTGGCCAGACTTGTGTTTGTTTTTCGAGATGAGTGCATCTGTGTGTATTTGTGTGTGGGTGTGCGTGTAGCTGAGAAACTGAGCAACTGCTCAAATTGCATATTTGATTAATTTATCATTCAAGGAACTGCACCTAACGTACACTTGCCCAGATCTACGTGTTGATGATCATTAACTGCAATTGGTTTGCTTAGCGTGTTTGTGTTTTTGTTTACTTGGCGCATTCAAAATCGCCGCTTCATTTTTCCTTGTGTGTCGTAACTCGTTTGATAAACAAACAATTTCGTTGTCGTAGCTGGTGAAAAGTACGTTTTACATTTTGTGTAAATACAATAATCTTGCTATACTCATATATATTTGGCCATAGGGCTTATATTAGGCAAAATGTGCGAACTGCATATCTGGCTTAAGTGTAAACATTTTGGTGTTTAGCTGCTTGATAAATAAATAAAAAAAAAATGTAATTTTAGCTTATGCGCTGGTTCGTTTTGCTGCCCGGTACGCAGCTCACCCTGTGTGAAATTGGATAACGTTAAAAGTTGCTTATGTTCTGATCTTTCGAAAATTAAATTCACTTAATGGAGCTGTGCAGAAATTAAAAATCAATCAATTAATACCTGTACATGGAATTAAAAGAAAAAAACAGCAATTTTCCAACCGAAATCAAATAATTGAAAAATGAAAAATTTGTTTAATATTGCTGGTTGATATGCAGCTCACTTTGTGTAAAACTGCATGAAGCTTAAAACCGATGTTATAGAATTAAATAAATTGTAAAATAAACGGTTTTCCTCGAGCAAAACATCTGAGCTGCATACCTAGCCTGTGTGTACACTACCCGTGCCGCATTGGGGTATATCGTTTTTGTATTTGAATGATAACAGATAATGCAATCTAATATTGCTGCTTCTTTCACACGTGATAGTCCACAATTAACCTATTGGCAACTTAATGGTGATGAATAGGCAGCCGAAGCGTTTGCCCAATGATTAACCATAAGCCGAACCGGCAAGACAATCTAGAAACCGGGCCGATAGTAAACGAAATCATATTGTGAGGCGAAGGCGTGCGCCAGCTGTGCGCCGGCTATAAAGCCGCCTGCCAGGGCAAATCATTCGACAAAAGCACACATCGTGACAGTCGCACGAGCTAACGTTATAATACGAATAATCAATTATTTATATAAATATATACATACATATATATTATATATATTTATATTACATACTTTACAGTTAAAACTGTCAAACGTTCGATGGAAATGAAGCCAGCCGCCAGCCAGGTAACAGCGCCGGCCGCGTCCAGTGGTGAATCATCTGCTTCGGCCGCGGCTGCCGCATATATGCGGCAATTTGAGAACATTATAGCGCCGGGTAACGAGGCCTCCATGACCAGAGAGTTCAAACCGCAGGTGGCCTATGAGTTTGAACGGTACTTGAATCCACAAAAACTAAAACAGCACGTGCTGCGCAGCGATAAGCTGCGCTCTCTGCTGGAGCATTATGCACGGGAGACGAAACAGCCTTTAAAGAAGCTGGAGCAGCAGGCGCGTGCGATTATCGATGAGATCGGCTTGGATAGAAATATGGCCATAATACGTTGGTGTGGCATTGCCATAACGGCGATTGGCAAGCGCATTTGCGATGGCTTCTATGTCAATTCGGCCAGCATGGCCAATGTGCGCAAGGATATGGGCCGTTGTCCTGTGTTGTATCTTCCCAGTCATCGCAGCTATATGGATTTTATACTGATGAGCTACATATGCTATTATTATGATATTGAAATACCTGGCATTGCGGCCGGCATGGGTAAGTCTCACATATGTCATATGTCAGTTTCTGGGCCAGCCTAACATTTTAATCCCGTCCAGACTTTCACTCCATGTTTGGCATGGGCACCATGTTGCGAAAAACGGGCGCATTTTTTATGCGTCGCTCCTTCTCGAACGACGAGCTCTACTGGGACATCTTCCGGGAATATATGTACGCCCTGGTCGCCAATTATCATATAGGCGTGGAGTTTTTCATAGAAGGCACACGCTCGCGCAATTTTAAAGCGCTGGTGCCCAAGGTGGGCCTGTTGTCCATGGCATTGCTGCCTTATTTTACGGGCGAGGTGCCGGATGTAATGATTGTGCCCGTTAGCGTTGCCTATGAGCGTGTGCTGGAGGAGCAGCTGTTTGTCTATGAACTGCTGGGCGTGCCCAAGCCAAAGGAGTCAACCAAAGGGTTCTTTAAAGCTCTGAAAATCATCGACGAGCGTTTCGGCAAAATGTTTCTGGACTTCGGTGAGCCCATCTCAGTGCGCGAATTCTTTGGACACGACAGCACACAGCGTATGCAACGCGCTGGATTGGCTGGACAATTGCAGAAGCTCAATCGCCAGGAGATCGAACTGGTCAAGCAGCTGGCCAATGAGATTATCTATCAACAGCAGCGACGCATTGTCATCAGCACCTTCAATCTGTTGAGTCTCTACTATGCCAGTCAGCTGTATGGACAGCGCGGCGTTAATCTGGACGAAGTGTCCTCGGCCATACTCCATCTGAAGCGAATGTTTGAGCAGCTGGGCGCCCATGTGAGCACCAGTACGAATAGCATCAAGGCGGACGTGATCGATACCATTGAGATACACAGCAATATTTTACAATTTCGAGCGGGACGACTCCAGTTCACGCCGCTGGCCGCCGACCAACTGGCGGCACAGATCGACGTGCGACGTCTGAAGGCACACGCCCTCTGTCCACAAACGATGGCGGTGGCAGTGCCCATGTTGGCACTGCAGCTGTATATAAATCCCTGCATGTTTTGGCTGGCACGACCCGCTTATCTGTTGCTTGCGTCGCTCAAGGAGGAGCGGCGTCAACGGATGCTTGACACCGTGGGCACATATGATGATACGTTGGCGGCACTGCACAACCATGTTAGCAGCATGGATGCGCTGTTCCAGCATGAGTTTATCATTGAATCGAATCGCGAAGCGGCCGAGTTTGAGACGCATTTGAAACTCCTGCTAGATGAGCATGCTGTGCAGCTGCACGAGCACACGGGCAGGATTAGTGTGCAGGATAATGAGTGCTCGCGGGTTATATTGGCTGCCCTGGCTCCATTTCTGTGCCTTTACTACCAGCTGGCAGTCACGTTGCGACAGGTTAGTATATTGTTTTTAACTCCAGGAAAACTTTGTTAACTTTTGTAAAACCCTATCTGCGCAGATGTCTGGCGAATTTAGCGCGAGGGATCTGTTGGTGCGCGTGCAGCAACATGTGGAACAGCTACTGCAGCAACCAGGTGGATCCGCGGCACATGTACATCCCTATTGTCTGGCTTTGGACAATCTCAATATTGCCATCTATGCGCTGATACAGTCAGGCTATCTGCACAAATCTCGCGATACGGGCATGATGTGCGTTGCGACGGCAACACCGATGAAGTGCCTCAGGCAGCTGGAGCTGCAGCTGCTCGAGTATTGCCAGCTGATGCCATTTGCCCAGTACTCGATGGCGGCCAATGAGCAGGCCCAATCGCATATGGCCAAATTATAACTGATAAATGGCAAGCGGTTGGCCAACAACACGCTGCCCGCCGCCTTGGCAACGCCCTCAACCCAACAGCATTGTACAATATCACAATTCATACAATTCATTGTCAGCCTGCTCAAGAATTGCCGCATCATATGCATACTCATTGTGTTTGTACTTGTGGCGCCGTTGTGGCAATTACTACTGTGGCTGATCGCAACCATGTGCTCAGCCGCATAGTGTGTGTGTGTGTGTGTGTGCGTGTGTGCGAGTGAAGTATATGGGTTAATGGCATGATGGGTTTGTCGTTTGTGTATACGAGGGTATTTTTTATTAGTCCTTAAGTATTTAATGATAATTGATATTTTGATTTGTTGCCATACACAAAAACTCTATCCAAAAAGATTTTGGATGCCAGTCAAATTGGCGCTATCATGATGTGAGGCGACAAATACTGTTATTATAGGTCAAGGAAGTCAGGTTTTTTTTATAGCTAGAGATCCCAACGACATTATTTAATATGCATGCAAACATATACACCCATTTATAGTTCTTGTGGATATTTGATATGATCTAGTTTTAAAATTCATTTTATTTCAACTATTTACCTTATTGACTTCTAAACATTCCTGGTACAATGCACAAAAAACACCTTTAAAATGAATTTATTTCAATTTATACGTTATATTTTATATAGTTTTGTATAGGTTTTAGTTATTTACATGTATATGGGTTTTATTTTTAAGACAAATGTTGGCAATGTTAATTTATGTTAATTTTTATGTTTGTCTGTTCAACCAGAATAGCTTGTATCGTTTGAATAAAGCAAAGTAATTGTATCTTAGTTTAATAACATCAGAAAATGTAAATATAACAATGTTAGCAATAATTCGCCATAATGTTAACTTTGTTGTATGATATTTAAAAGGCGCTATCACTTTTAAATGAAACTGAATATACTGTTAGTATTGTACTGTTACCAGAATGTAGACATGTTAGTAACAGCGCATCGCCGTCTCTTGCTCTTCTAAACTAATCCTGTTCTGTAATTGTATTGACATGTTAGTAACAGCACGTCTGAATGCTAATGTTTAAGTCTCGTACTAAAAGAGTAATTTTAATTAATATGCAAATCACTTTTAACTTTAATAATTAAGTTATGTATACATTACAGAACAATGTAACCAATAACTCAGCAATGTAACCGAAAGGGAAAAACATTTGGTGCTTAAGATTTTACTAGGCAACATTTGACATATACTTTCGTACTCGTTTTTAAAAAATCTCTTGCGGAAATTGGAGACATCTACTACTCGCCCCCCTTGTGGCAGAGAAGCTCAATTATAACAATTTTCCGAAACAGTGAAATCGGAACATTGCTTTCATAGCTATTGTAAGATTTTATCAAATTGCAGAGTAATTAAACTTCAGCTTGCTGCAGCCAACGTCACTTTTCTGGTTTTAAGTACATTCAATTACTAAGTGTTATTAACGACAAGCTTAGAAGTGCCAATTAAAAAGCACTTGTATTTTCATTAGCAAATTAATTCTAGTAAGTAGAGATCCTCTAATGAAGAAATAAGAGTAACTAAATAGTTTGAAATATTCTCAATATTTTTATATTGCTATATGCAGAGGAATTTTCTTGTAAAAACCAAAAATCAAAAACTGAAGCACACAAGTCTAGCAACAAATAGTGCAATATTTTGTTTATGCTTAAATATTTTTTAAACATATTTAATGGTATATAAGTTTTTTGTAGCTAAATTTATATACATCTATATGTATACTAGAGAAACCGAACACCAATATACTAATTTGTACACTATATTAACAGCAAAAATAAAATATATTAAATTGGTGCCAGTTGCGCCCTTGCGAAAGATTAACAAAAACAAACTAAAAAAAATAACTCAAACTGGCATTAAATATGTATATTGTATGCTTAGGCAAGAGAGGGGAGAAGATTTATGATTAGCAAAACTCGCGCTTGAACTGTTCCAAGGTGCGCTGACTGATGACCACACGCATGAGTATTTTCTCCGCATTCTGTTCATCCGCTCTGGTGTCCACGACGGCGGCATTCTTATACAGCCAGGCCATTTCAGGTCCGCCGCTGGGAACACGCACCTGCAGCTTTCGGCGTCCAGTGACGGCCAAAATCTGTTTCTCCACATCCTTGAGCAGCGGCTCCAGGCCGGTCTGAGCGCGTGCCGAGATTAGATGACCCACTGCCGTATTTTGTTGCTGTGCCACAGCTGCCAATTGAGCTTTCGGTGTTAATAAATCGCATTTGTTGTAAACATTGATGATGGGCGGCAATTGGCTGGCACTGGAGTCTCCACCAGCTATGCTAAAGGCCAAGGAACGCAGCGTGGACTCAACATGGGCGCGCTGTGCGGCATGACAGGGATGCGATAGATCCTGCACATGTATAATTATATCCTAAAACAGAAACACGATTATATAGTGTGCACATAGTTACATTTTTCACACTCACCGCCAGCATAGCATCCTCCAAGGTGGCCACAAAGCACTCAAAGAGGCCGGTGGGCAAATCGGACATAAAACCCACCGTATCCATATAGATGAGCTGCAGATTGCAGGGCAAGTTGCCAGCATGCGCTGTTACATCTAGCGTGGCAAACAATTGGTTGCGCGGCTGCAGCTTATCCTCCACAGCGAGCGCCTTTATCAGTGAAGTCTTGCCAGCATTCGTATAGCCAACGACAGCTGCAACGGGATAATTTTGCTGTTTGCGCTTCTGGCGCAGCAGTTGCCGTTGTCGACGCACGCCATCCAGCTCCGCGCGCAACTTGCGCTCTCTGGTGCGCAGTATCTCCTTTTGAAGATCACTCAGAGAGTAGCCCTGGCGGCGGGTCTGCGTAACGCTCGCATCCTTGGCCAGCGCCCATATATATGGCAGCTCGGCCATGGCAACCTGCAGACGCGCCTCGGCGCTGGTCGCATGTAGACGCAAGATCTGTATAACTACCGAATAGCGATCCAGCACAGGCAGCTGGAATTCTGTTTCCAGAAATTGTTTTTGCGCAAAGGACAGCGTGCCCTTGCTTACAAACAGGCAGGTTACCTGCCGCTCCTGCCGCAGACTGCCCATTAGTAGCTTGAGTTCGGCCAGCTTGCCGCTGCCAAAAAGCGTTTTGCGTTCCAGACTCTCCAATGGCACTTTGAGAGACCGAGCCACCTGCCAGTTGGGCAGCGATCGTATCAGCGCAGTGGCCTCGGCCAGCTGATCGTCCGGCGTTACATCATCGGGCGTTGTTCGCTTGGCGGACCATTTGACATAGGGTTGCAAGATGAATACGTGTTGCGCTGTGGCCACATCCCTGCTGATGCGCATAGCGCCGCCAGCAACTTCATCATAGGCGCTGTGAAGATATAGATTAATTAAGGGTCAGGCATATGGTTAAGTCAATCCCACCGATCATCCAAGAAACGCATGTCGCCGGAACCCACTGCAGTCGGATCGCTCTGCTCCTGAAGTCCCGCCTGCATTTGAGCCTCGTAGAAGCTCTTACGATTGCGTATGCCCTTGACTCCTTGATGTTGTGTGTACTTAAAACGCGCTGGAATTTGGCTGATGAATGGGCGCCACTGGGCCGGCCAGGCCACACGCAGCACCGAACGGAGGCACTTCATGACTTAAACTATACTTTTTACAATTTGGCTAATTAAAAGGTTTCCTCTTTGAGCACAGTGTGTTTGCCCTCGTAAGCCATCCAAGCCGCTTGACAGGATTTGGTGCGTGTTGATGTCGTTTGATATGCAACACCAGTCGCTACTAAGGAGGAAATCAATACGTTGTACTTAACTGGATAACGTATTTTTGTTTGAACCGCCTTTTGTACAAAATATGTGCCCGCAAATCCTACAAAAAGAATAAATATTATGCAATTATTTTGACAATTAACAAAGTGCCTACCTAAACAAAATGATGATAAGCCCGTAAAGAGAGCACGTGTCATGCAGTCCAGATAGCCGTCAAATCCTGGATGTTTATCGCGCTGCTGTTCCTTCAAACGCTTAATATCGTTCATAATAATTATTTATTTACGCATTAATTTAAGCGCAAGGAAGTATGTGCCAACCGGCTATACGATGATGTGCTAGCTTTTTATGGGCAGCACTGTTTGTTAGTGCATGATCTGGCAACTACAAAGGCTGCTGCCAAGCAGCGCGCACACGATGAAATTCTTATTATCAAGCACTTACCAGATGTAGTAAAGTTTTTTTTTTGTGAGGTGTACAAGGTTAATTTGGCTTTAAATAAGATTTGAATATATAACGCAATCAAGTTAATTCGTTGCTTAAATGGCGCATTTATGAAATATACACATCTAAAATCAAATGAATTATTTGAATGGCAGACGATAGGCAGCACTTTCTGATGTTAGTGTCAGCCGGTCCGGCAACGATATTCCGCTTAGTTGTTGTTTGTGGCGTTTTCTCAAGATTTTGCTGCAAAATGGATGTGGAGAAGATTTGTCGTACTTGCCTTAGCCTCTCGGGTCCATTTCTGTCCATTTACGATGGTGGCACTGGCAGCTGCTTGGTCGACATGCTGCGTGAATTCACAAGGACTAAGGTAAGCCTTCGATTTTAAATTCCAGACGCCCCAGACTCAGTTCCTGTTCTTCTTCACAGCCGCGGCGCGAGGATAATCTGCCAGCCAGGGTCTGCCTTAGTTGCATCAGCGAAATAAACCACTGCTATTCATTTAAACTCAAATGTGAGAGCTCAAATCGAACGCTGCGACAGCTGCTGCCCAATGCGCTGCCCGAGGAGCCTGACCAGCCATCAACAGAAGCCAAGTCCGCAGTGGCTACGTCCGAAAGCTCAGTGCAAACTAATGCGGTGTCAACAGCCACAGCTGAGGCACAAACGGATGGGGTGGCCACATCAGATGCCGCGCAAAACACCAGCATTGAGCAGCCAACGCTGCTGGCCAACGAACCACTGATAGATGAGGTGGAGGGACAGGAGGAGGAAGAGTATGACTATGAATTTACCGAAGAGCAAGAAACAGATGAGACACCAACCAAGGCGAGCGCCGAGAATATAATACTGCATGTGGAAAAAGACAACATTAAGTTTGAAACGGAAATGGTGTACAATAAAAACACAGGCGAGCTGCTTGAACAGGCGGTGGAAACAGTTGCCAAGCAGAAGGAGTATAAATATCGGCTTGTCAGCAATGGTAATGGCGACACATACATCTCACCAGAGCCTGCGCCAACACTCGCCTTGCCTACGCGCAAGTGTGCCACAAAGCTGCCTAAGGAGCAGCAATCGACGCATCAGGAGTCACAGTCAACGTCCAAACGCAGTGTGCAGCATCAGCCGGCGGAACAGCTGGATATGCCGTCGCCTGCAAAAAAATCAAAACCTATTAACCCAAATGGCACGCCTGCGGGTGAATTGGATGAGTTGAAGGCGAAGTTCCACTGTGATCGCTGCAATGCAGGCTTTGCGCTGGAGAAATCCCTGATCATACATCGGCGGCAAAATAGCTGCACCCATCGCAATTTCAAATGCAACAAGTGTGAGAGGGTATTTGTCTCGCTGGATCATTTGACCGAGCATCAGGCAACGCATGGTGCGTTCATATGTCAGGAGTGCGGCTTGCGCTGCGAGTCCATGGAGCAGCTGGGCAGGCACATGGTGCAGACGCACAAGCGGAATCTACGCAATCAGTGCAATGTTTGCCAGAAGGGTAAGCGATGGAGGAGGATTGTGCTACTTTCAGTCTAACATTTCTCATTTTGCAGTCTTTACCATGTTGTCCACGCTGCGGGATCACATGCGTATCCATACCGGTGAGAAGCCATTTGTGTGCAAAGTTTGCGGCAAGGGCTTCACACAAAATGCGAATCTACGCCAGCACATGATGCGCCACTCGGACATTAAGCGTTTCAAGTGCGAGCTGTGCAATCATTCGTTTGTAACCAAAGCGGAGCTGACCTCCCATGCGCGCACCCACACCGGTGTCAAGCCGTATCAATGTGAGGTCTGCTCCTCCAGATTCACCACCAGCTGCTCACTGGCCAAGCACAAGCGCAAGCACACAGGCGAGCGACCCTATGCCTGTGACTTGTGTCCCATGCGTTTCACAGCGCTCAACGTGCTGAAGAATCACCGACGCACTCACACAGGCGAAAGGCCCTACGTTTGTCCCTTCTGTTCGAAGAGCTTTACACAACGTGGCGACTGCCAGATGCATCAGCGGACGCATCAGGGCGACAAGATCTACATTTGCCCTGTGTGCAGCGAGGAGTTCAAAACGATGACTGATATGCGCACGCATCTGACGATGCACGAACAGGACGACAAACGATTGGTGCATTTCACCCTGTTGAGCAACAAGGAGAACGGGAATGCGGCGCTAGAGGAGGCGGACGAAGAGTCGGATGCAACCGACTTGCTTTAGGTGACGGAGGCGCCGGCAGCGGCGGTGGCTAATTTTCCCTGTGGGAATTTTGAATACGCTAGGTCTTAAGATGGGGTGTTCCATAGATTAGAGCTGGAAAATTATCGACAGAGCTGATACTCTCGATTAGTGGTCTTAATGCTCGGCACTTATCATGAGTTGGACGAGATCGATATTTAGTAAAAGCTATAGAAAACATATGTTCATATCCTAAAGCTACATAAATAACAATTAAGCTCGCTGTGTTTCAAGCACAAAAAAAAAATGCAAAACATATATATACAAACGATAGTTTATGTTCTGTTCAGTTGATCGATCAGTTGAGCTCTCGCTATAGATGTTTAACGCAGGGGTATTCAGTGTATAAGAAATCAGGGGCTTTAAATAACCTATTGATCGTTCGAGCTGTAATTAGTGTTATTATCGATATGGACATTCGGAGTATTTAGTGTATACAACTTTTTGAGGCTCATTAACATTCTTTTTTATATTAAATGTAAAAGTTCTTATGAAACTAAAAACCATGCCTATCGATTTATCACAAGCACGCCCTATTATCAATAGTTCGGCGGTAGCTCGATTGCTTTCCAGCTCAAATTAAAATTATGACATTTTTTGTAGAATTTCCTTAGTCTTTAATTTTAGCTTACAACAATAGTTATTAAAATGCTTATGAATCGATATATGCACTTGGTCGTCTAGTAGAACTGTCCGAACTGGGCCGGCTGTTGTATCGCCGAGGTGGACGCCTCTGTCGTGGCGACAGCGACAGGCAGATTGAGTGATGCGCCGCTGGTTACAGGCGGATCGCCTTGAAACCAATTGACCAGCTCATGATGCGCACTCTGCACGCATTTGCGCTGATCGGCAATCAGGTTTTCTGAGTATTTCACATGGTTGGCATACGCCTCCTTCTCGTGCTGCGCATCCTTGGACATCCGATGCAGATCCTTCAGTATCGCCGAGCCCCACAGCTGCACATGTATATCAGGTATTTTACTCGCCAATTGCATGGCCGGCGTCACCATATTCATGCTCTCCTTGGAGTTGCCTATGCTTAGGAAGACATGCGAGAGTAGCACCAATGAGCAGCTGGTCAGGCGATTCAAGTCCTCTGCATTCGCCATTTTAAGCGTTTCGCGCAAGAACCGTCTGTGGAGATTAATGAATTGTGAAAATGGAAAATTCTATAAAGGCATTATCTACTCACTTGGCCTCATGAAAGCTGTTTTTGTGGAAGGCATGTAATCCCTGGACATAGTAGAAGCCACCCATTAGCGCCTGACTGCTGTACGTGTGCGTATTCTCCGTGGACACTGCGTCGAGTATTTGCTTGAGGTCTGCATCCCGTTTGGTGCGCAGATATATGATGGCCAGATTGAGATTGGCAAAGAGCTTGAGATCCCTTTCGCCAGTCTCGTTCACACATACCAGAAACTGCCGCTCCGCATGCTCAAAGAAGCTCGTGGACATGGAATACAAACCGATAAGGCAATGCAGCTGCGCCGAATGACGCTTGAGCAGGTTACGATGTGGCGCCGCTATACACACATCGCGGGCAGCGGCTATCTCACGTATGGCTAGCTCACGATTGCCCATGACCATGCGACACATCACAATATGCTCCAGTAAGATGACCTTAAAGACGGATAATATGGATTTGTCCTCCTGCAGTTTCAGTTTCTCGATTTGTGTCAGCGCCTTTTCCGTATACTTTTGCGCCTTGTCCATGTAGCCGGCCATCATGGAGTGCGAGACGGTGACGAGATACACAAGCACATAAAGCTGCTCCTTGGGCAGCCAGACAAACATCTCCAGCTGATTGGCACCAAAGATGACCTCATCGCTGGGCCAATTCGGCGCCATAATGGTCTGTATGGACATTTGTAGCTGCTTCAAACTGGGCTTCACCGTCTTGACCTGCCCCAGGGCCAGATAGTAGCACACTTGTAGCACCAGGAAAAACACCTTGAGATACTCCTTCTGATGTGGATTGGGTATGTTATTGTCAATAATCTGACCCGCTGAATTAAGCAGCGCCAGCACATCGTTCGTTTTCCGTTCAATCATTAGGATCATTGCGCGTGACAGCAGAAATAGCACCTTTAGGTATGTGGCGCCCGCCTCCTCGGCAGATTCGGCGCCCACGGCCAACAGATCGCTGGCAAGCGAATATTCACGATCGTTGGCGTGTATCTGGGACAGTTGCAGAAGCAGCTTGCAATGCCAATAGACATTGTTCTGTGATAGCTCCACCGCACGTCGCAGCATCGCTTTGGCGTGTGAACTCTGCTCCGTTTGCAGATGCAGCTGTGCCAGAAGCGACGCCGTGTCAAATTTGACATCATCAAAATTCATTAGCGGCTCCGAGATGCTCCACGCCTGCTCCAAATGCTGACGCGCCAAATCTATGTTGCGCGTGTAGGCCATTAGCACTTGGCCCATTTGCAGGTGTGTGCGCGCCTCCACCTGGAATCGTTAAGAATTTCAATCGATTGGATATGTTAATAAATTGTATTTGTTGTTGACTTTCACTTGAACTTACCTTCGAAGGCGGCTGAAAAGTGAACAGCGCCTGTAAACATTGTATGCACTTCTTTATATTTGGCGGCTGTGAGGTACGGAAGTATTCGGCGAGTCCGAGCAGCGATATATAGCAGGCATCCTGTGATGCTGCTGTGGTGTTGGCTCCACTCATTGCGTTTAATTGCTATAAATCGGCTTCGTTTTGTTTATCGCGTAATTTTGTTGTTGTTGTTGCTGCTGCGTGGGTTAATGTGGTGGTTAAACAGTGTTGGTAAACATTGCCGCGCAGTGTTGCTTTATGTACCATCGATGAATCGTTCATGTAGTCGCAGTGACAATAAAAAAAATCTTCAAAAATGACTAATATAAACATATTTGGTAAAGTAATATGTTTATTGGAGCCTAAAATATTTATTTCTTATATTATTCTTCAGTGCAGTAAGAAATGTGTTTCTATGGAATACCATTAGCACCCACGTATCATAGCAAACTCATTCGATTATTGCTATCGAATAATCGTCATATCAAAATATTACTCGAGCCGCGCTCTGCAATAAGCTCAGTACAAAACTTTAAGCGGTTGCAACAAGTTGTGTTTTGGGTGCAAATCAAGTGATTAAGTCTTATCAAGTAAAAGGTATTTACAAATGTATTTTATTAAAATCTCATCTGACAATTTAATAACTACCACGATGACCGGTTCTTTTTTTTTTTAAATCGAGCACTCATCACTTATGATTGCCATTAGTTTTTGCAAATGCTATTTATAATTGCACAATCTATGGTGAATTATGTGCACTTAAGTCCCCTGCTCCAGTAAATAAAATGGCTTTCTGTTGTTATTATTGTCGCACGCAATCACAATTCGCTATCGCTATACAAAATGAGTGTGGAGTTTGATTAATGTGGAATTTTGTAATGGCATTGTTATTGACGTTCATTACTTGGAAGTATATACATATATAGAAATATTTATATGCATGCATTTCTTAATATGGATTTACCCTGGAGACTGAAGATTAGCAGATTGACGACAAACAGACCCTTAGCAGCTCATTAAGAAATTCGAATGAATTTAAAAAATTAACACCGTATCAGTGATAACCATTATAAGCTGACCTCACTTGGCACTTGACACTCACCAGATACTTATGTATGTAGCTTCTGGCGAATTTAATTTTTCAAAGAAAACTACTTAAGATTAAATTAATTTTGTTTATTATTTCTCTAAAAGCAACAATTACTTTCATGTACAGACAAGCAGTATGTATAGTATGCACATTCAATACTTTGCGTCAACTTCAGTTGGAAATTCCCTAGAAACAAGTTGCTTTGTTGTTTGTTTGTTTTTTTTTTTTTTGTGCCAGTGTGGGCAGCGCAGGCGCGAATGGCGATACAGCTGTGTTGGTAAACAGCGTGCATAAAAGCTAAACACAAATACGGGTGAGAGAAGAAGAAGAAAAGAAAAAAAAAACCAATTACAAAATCGCCAATACAGGGTCAAAAAAGAGCGCGTAAGCGTTGAAATGTTAACAATTCATGAATCACGCACATATTTACAGTGCACATAACTGTGTGTGGACTCAGAAACTGGTTTTGAAAATGTTAATTTTTTTGTTGGGTTTTTTTTTTTTTTTTTTAACGATGCAAAGCGTTTTCATTGCGTCGGCAAATCACGCAACTGTGACGTCGGGCAGTCAGCTGCGAAAGCCGGCCAAAAGACAAACTCGCTCTTTTTTCACGCTCAACTGAATGCAGCAACAACAACAACAACGACAACAACAACAATCACAAATAGCTTTGTTGTTGCGAATTCGAGTGCAGACAAACTGATAAACTTTCACTTTTCGCCGTCAGCTCGAGAGCAAGATGTTGCAACTGCTTAAAGCTGTGATTAAGCTAAATTAGGTACGACAACTTTGGCGAGCATCGGCAGAGGTGAATCAGCTTTAAGGGATTTTTAATGAGCTGCAAGCTTGCGCTGCATAAATTTGCCGGCTTAGAGATTTTTGTATACATATATTAAAGCACACAATAAAATTGGCAAACGATCTTTACGCGTGACGAATACTAAGCAGGCTTATTAAGGCACGTTTTTCCCATCATCATGTTAGCTGTCGCTCACAGTGCAAAAGTTGCAAGGCACCTTATCTGCTTTGGAAGTATTTCCAATGAATTTCCAAATTGCCGAGCTACAATGAAGTTAGAAAAGAAGGAATAAGTTTTAACTGCGGGATGAAAAATAAAAACTAAATTCCTAAAATGAAACTTAAATGTTTGTAAAACAGCAATATAAACAAGAATTTATTTATTTGTATAGCTATATTGACCTCTCAAATTAATAAAAAGATTTAATTATATTATAAATGCTTTGTGTGTCGCTGCACTTTCTACAAAAAACTCGGACAGATAAATAATACTCATAATAATAAAAAAAAGCACTCTGCAAGGCTATGACACTGAATTCCACTCACGTAAAATTTGGCAAGAGTGTTGCCAGCCCACTTGCCACATCGAAGGTCACTAATCCCAAACTCTCGTAAATCGTATCTTTGCAGAGAATGAAGGTGTGTTTATCACTGGTGCTGCTGTTGCCGGCGCTGCTAAGCGCCGAGTTTTGTGGCACACCAACCGATCCGAGCATGTCGTCCATACGTCCCAATTTGTATCGTGGACAGCAGGAGTTCTCTGTGGCCATGCTGGATGCCATACGCAAAGCGACGCCCAATGAGAATGTATTCTTCTCACCCTACAGCACATACCATGCCTTGTTATTGGCATATTTTGGCGCCACGGGAGAGACGGAACAGGAGCTGACCAAGACGCTGCGTTTGAGCTGGGCGCCGTCCAAGGAGGCTGTGCGTAGCGCATATCGCACGGAGAAGCAGGCCCGTGCTCTGCGAGCCAAGGAAATGCCCTTGGAATTCTCCTCCGCCGATCGTCTGTACTTCGATAATCAGGTGAAGCTGGCCAGCTGCTTGGATTCCCGTCTGCACGACGAAATAGTGCAGTTGAACATCAGGGATAATGCGGAGCAGACGCGTCAGCAGATCAACTCATGGATTGCCAATGTAACACACGATCAAATCAAGGACATGCTTGCCGCCGGCGATATCGATTCGCGCACTCAACTGGTGCTGGCCAATGCGGCGT